CAAAGGCAACCTGAGATCGCTGGCTCCAGAACTGCTGCACTTCCCCCTGAAGCTCTTCCACAACTGCTGGTGGCTTCTCCACCATGTTTAAAGCCCTTTTTCCCATCCTGTGTCTTGGAGCAGAGCACCAGGCTGGACACTGGACCATGTGGGTACATGGATGCTCACCCACCCACTCCGGGGATGCGGAGTTGATCATCTCCGGCTGTATTTAGCTTGGCCATTTCACTGTCTGCACACACAGCCCTGGGGAGAGTGGAAGGAAAAAGCATACAGGCCAGCCAAGCCAAACACCAGGAGGTCCAACACTCCAGCACAGCTTCTCAGAGATGAGACACAGACCTAAGAAGAGTCCACTTGTCTCCTGGTGCAGGAGCATCTCGCAGAGCTCTGGTCTAACACCACAGCCACAAACACGAGCTCTCGGTCCAGGGCTCCAGCACACACTACCTCCCTCCCAGGGATGTGGATTTTGCAGCCTGGGCAGGAGGAAGGTGCTGGGGTGGGTGATCCTGGTGCAGAGCACATTCCCCCTTTGCCCAGCAGCACGGCATGTACAGCTTTGGAAACAATCCAGTCTTCATTAACTTGTCAAATTAGGAAATTGAGAGCTGGCAAAGTACAGCAAAGATTGGAGGTGGTTTTTATAGCAAGCCATAGGATCTCCCACTGTTTGTCTAATCCAATTCCCTATTGTCATTGTCCTAAGAGAACTGATGAGGAAAGAGAGGGAGAAGTAGAGAGATGAAGACCTGAATGGTTTCCAGCTGAAAGCACCTCCCATCCGTGTGCCAACAAGATGGTTTGTATAAATTGCTCAGGATTGGTAATTTTCCTCTCTCATAGTCACGTCTGTGTTTTAGAGAACTCTTAAGTTTCATCCCCTCTGGTCAATTCTGCCATAGGAAGAATATAAAAAGTGATTTATTTTATATTCCCATCAACTGGCAAATGCAGAGCATTGACTGAGCCCCTTTCTGACCCGCGGAGCTTTTGTGTTCCTCGCTCTGGAGTATTAAGTTAGTCAATTATTACTGAGGAGAGTGTGTCAACCTGTCCTGAACCTGCCACACTAAAATAAAAGCACACAAAAGACCAAGCAAAGCCCATGGCATGAAACAGGTTTAGATAGAAGATGCTTTGATGTGCTCCTCTGCAGCAATTGAGCAGCATTGCTAAGGCACATCACTCAATGTAAAAACACCTTCTCCTCTACTTGCTCCTGCTCCTCTCATGATCTTTTTCAACACTACACACCAAAACAAAACTCCACAAGCATCTCCACGCTGCAAATAAACCATGGACCAAAAGAATTCATTCTGGTATGCATCTAATTTCCACGACCACTTTGCAAAGACAGTTTAAGAAAAAAAAAAGACAAAAATAGTACAAAATCGAGAGCCCAGCAGAGCAAAGTCTTAATGCACAACCACAGCCCATTTCAGTGTGTGTGAATGGTGTGAGCACCTGCTGAGGAAACCTCACGTGCTTTGTGTGATCTCTCCCCTCTCAGAGGGGAGGACAATGCTGCTGCGTGTGGAGTAACCGTGGTGGAAACCCTTCTCCCCACAGAGGAGGCACCACAGGGTTGTGCAAAGGCACCCATGGCTGAGCTGGCAGCCCTCGCAGCGCTGGTGGGGCAGGAGAGCAAAGGAGTTATTCTTGGGGTGGCAAAAGCTCCTGTCCTGCAGCGTTGGCTTTTAAGAAGGCAGCACCAGAGAGTCTTGTGAAAAAGCAACAGGTGAAGCAGGACATGTCAAGCATCCACAACAGAGACAAAACCCCGGGGAACCAGCTGCTGCAACAGCAGAGAGAGAACAAGCTGCCCGATGACAGCAGCAACGCCAATAAATGAGAGTCAATACCATCACTGCTGGAGATCTGAGTTAAAAACCATACCAGCAACTGGTTGGGGATAGACTTTTCAGGCAAAGTAGCCATTCCTTGCCTGCTAATTGTTATGTTTTCCAAAGATGTCATCGAGTTGTGTTCAACGAACAGCTATTTAATTACCAGAGTAGAATCCTGTTAATTAGCCAGCCTCAGAAGACAGCCCTTCATCCCTGTTAAGTGTAATTCCCAACTAATCCCTCCCCAGCCGTTGTCTCTCAGCCTGGGGAGGCACAGAGGGCTGTTTGAGTTGCCCCAAAGTCAGGGGAATGACCTGAGCTTGACCCTCACCTGCTTCCAGCAGCTGTCTTCAGCCCAGGGAAGGTACAAACCAGCATCACAAGTGTCATAGAAGTAAAAAGCTATTTATTCCTCTTACCATTTCTCAGCTGTCCCTCCATTTGACCCAGCGGCTTCAGCCACAGCCTGGCCAGCATCTCCTCTTCCCAAGGGCTGGTGGTCCTGCTGCATCCCTCCTTCCACAGAGTCCGTGCTTCTGCCCATCTCAGAGGCCAGCAGCTCTCCATCAACCATCTCACCACCTTCCTCCACTCAACACCACTCAGCATCAAAGCCTTTCCCAGGCAGATGCTGTGAGCACCTTTTAGAAGGTGCTACAAACATTTCTAAGGGCAACCACAGCTCTCCACCTATGCTGCATCTCATCTGACTTCCCAGGACAGAGGACAAGCCCCATGGGACAGTAATTCTGCACCCGGCAGACCTGGGCAGCAGGACAGGTGTATCAAAAATATGAAATTCCTACAAAATTCCTAAAAACAGCCTGGGTAAAGGACACAAGTGCTCCAGCTTTGTGAAAGGCGTCAGCATGACCTGTCACACCAGCAGACACCAGATAAAGCCCAAGGGCACTGTCCCAGCATGGGCAGGGATCAGCCAGGGCTTTCACCACCCCAAGAGGGAAGCAGGATTCTTTTCTAATTCAGCTAATGCAGCAGCCTGGAGTTTCTGTTGTCTGTCACCATGAAAGTTTAATGCTTTAATTTGATGTTGAAATGCCAGCAGAAATAGATTTTGATAGGAAGTTGTAAACTCTTCTTTGATATCCATTTAAACAATTGAGATGATGTTGAAGTAGAGGGGGGGGTTCATTTAATCAACTTCAATAAAGCAAGCCTCCATCTTCCCCTTCCCTGGAAAACTGGGAGCCCCACTCATGCCAGATAAAAGTGAGGGCCACAGCAATGAGTTTGTCTCACCTTGCAGGGAAAGCACCTTCCTACATTCCCTTCTTTCTCAAGGAGGTTGGGTATTTCCCCCTGGGAGCTGATGGGCAACGATGAACCTACAAGAGAAACTCTGCTGATTCTCAACACTGTTCGTAGTATATATAATGATTTTTTTTTTTTTTTAAACAGATCTAAAACAATGGAAGTAATTCAAAGGGAGTAACATTACAAAAATAAATCACTGCAGCATTAGACAGATGAATTTTGAAAAGTCACAGTGGTAAAAATTAATTTAAGTAAAGTTAGCTGGGATATTTCATACACTGTCACTGCAACAGTGTGAATCGAAAAGTGTCATATAATTAAACTAGTAGCAGTCTCTATGCTTTTTATTTTGAAACCTCAATTTAACTACAACTCAGAAATACCTTGAATATTAACTGAATACATACAAGAGATACTGCTAATAAATTTTAGGCCTCCTTTCTTATTTAACAAAAAATTACAAATATTTTTAACCTACGAACAAAACAGCTTCTGAGAAAACAAGTTTTACTGAAAAATACACAGGCTTTAAAAAGCAAGTCTGGTAACATTTAAGCTCAGAAAGCAATTACAGAAGCAAGACATTTGGATTTTAGAAAATTTGTTTAATTAATAATGCTCATTAAAGGCACAGTTTTAATTAATAAATACAGATAAAGTTGTGAAAAAAAAAAGTCACAAATTTGCAGTTATTTTTAAATTGATTTGATTTTAGTGGCTGCCTCTTCATATACTAAAGATGTGGAAATCAGTGCAACTTGAACAGTTGCCGAACAAAAAAAATCTCTTAGCAATGAAGCAACACTCAGTGGAGTGGACGTTCCACTCTGCCTTACAGCTTGAACTACAGCAATCTTTGGTAGTATTTTAAAATAAACCAACACCTCAAATACTTAATATAAACAAATAATTAAAGATTAACATGTTTTTGTATTCCTATTCATGCTGCAACACAAAATCTTTTTTTTTTCTTTTTTTTTTCTTTTTTTTAATAAAAAAGGTCACTTGGGAAGTCCTGATGGCTTGAAACTCCATGGGATGGGATCTCTTTCTTCGCGCTGAAGTCGACAGCCGTTCTGATACTGACCTTTGTGGCTTAAAATACTCACAGAAGCGTGAGGGCTGGATCCAGTTAGTCTCATGTATTAGAAATGATTCATGACACTTTTTCATGAATGCACAGAAAAATATCATAAGACAGCATACCATATAAAAACATTTAAAAACCCATCCTCTCTTAACCGAGAGAGGCGTGGAGTTTGCAGGGTTTCCTACTCAAAGATCTCTCATTCTAGTCTGAACAAGGGCTCTTCTGAAATCAATACAATTAAAACACGTTAACATCATCCCACTGTTGTCAGTGCAAGACCAGATTACACTGAATATTAGAATAAACGCAGTGCAACTTCTTTCTCTCTTGGGACAAAACCAGTGAGTAAATCTTAACATGATAGGAATGTTTCAAAATGAAAATTGAAAACACATTTCACCAAGCCAGTCTTCCTCTACGTACTTCACATCAAGGAAAAGCAGAGTATCATCTTTGTGCATTTAACTAAGTACAGGACAGAAGAAATTAAATGCTATCTTAATGAAATAGGAACAAATATAATCTGATTGAAAAAAAACAAGTGGCCAAAATATCTCTTTAAAGAAACAATAAAGAATTTTAAAAACCCAACCAAACAAAAACTAATGGATTGTGCATTCAGCCGTCAAGGCGACTGTTTTTCCTCATTTCCCCAGTTTGAAAGGTTAGAAACTCTAAAGGGCTACTGCACGTAGTGCTTCTGCAGGGCTTTCCACCATCCTGCTCCTTGTCCAGACCACCTCAAAACATCAAATAACAATGGATGAGCTTGGCACAGCCTGCACTTAATGTTTCCCCCGTCGGCCTTCAAAAGCGTGATGGTCTCTGTGTGCTAAGGAAGAGAGGAGGATAAAAGAACAAAAAGAACATGTAAAATCTGTCAAGGAGTTGAAAAAATTAAAAAAAAAAAAGAGAAGACAATGTATAAAGCAGTCAGGGAAGACACAACATACTCACGAGTGATCTTTGGGAATACGCTATTCTGATAATACATTTATATAGAGCTTAAAATAAGAGATCCCTTAAAAACCTGATTGAAAATGGTTCCTCTAAATGAATACTTAAATTGAACAGCATGTAGTCTTGAGAGTTATCAAGAGATTTGTCTCAATCATTTTATGAATCAAGCATATTAAGCATGAAACCAAATATATTATACAATTAAACTAAGAATAGCTTCCCTTTTGAATGGTAGCTAACTTCTACATTGGAGGACAAAACCAGGTGTGTTTTGAAGCCATAATTTTAATGCAATAAGAGATGCTATGTTTCCAAGTGGTTAATGATGAATCCAACAGGTTACTGCCATGTAAATACCCTACTAGCATCTTGTTTCTTTAACAAATGTGGGAATTAACAGTAAAAAAAATACTTACACTTATAAAAGACAGCTTTAAAAGATGTGTGTGGCAGAAGTTTCTGTATCTTTTCTAAAACTTTTGCTTCACTTGCTAAAGAGGCATTCACATTCCAGACTTGCACAACATCTTCTCGGTCACGAACGCTGACGCTAACCCCTATTACTTCATCATCTGTACAGGAGAGGAAGCACCATTAAGGAATACTTTAAAAATGAGACATGTTTAATTTGATATGTATGTATTATGAAACAGCGCCCAAAAGCTGAACAAACTGAAGCAATGAAAAAGAGCAGTCCCCAGTGAGGAGAATACCAATGTTCAAACCAGACAAAATAGTTACCAGAAAGAAACAAACACTATTATTTACTGAAGTTATTGGAAATATTACCTCATAGTGGTTTTAATGAAATGCCATAGGATTATTTGTCTTTGCTATTAGTGCCCTTATCCTTGATTAGAAGGGAATCACAAGACTCCTTTCAGTAAGACTAGCAATATAAACTACTGAAGGCAATTTACCTACAGGTCTATAAGCAAAAACGGGGGGTAAGGCTGAAACAATTAAAACCCCAGGAACAGTACCTGGTGGAGACCAGACACCAGCTTTTCCAGACTTTGCTCTCTTTTACCTTTACAATTTGTGAAGGCAGCAGCAGAAAAGGGACCAAAAAAAAGGGGGGGACAAAAGGAGGACCAAAAAAAGAATAAAGCCCCAGTCAAGTTGCAGTTGCCAGTGTTGGTAACTCCATGCTTCACTGAAGAAGCCCTTTTTGGTATGAAATCCTCAGGATGCAGCTTGGTGGAGAGCTCAACCTCAGGCCATGCCTCTGCCTCCCTTCCTGACACCAATTCAGTTATGTATATTGAGGATTTTGAAAACCAACTATTAGAAGTGTCTCTCACAGCTCAGAGATCTGAGGTTTGTATTCTGTATCTTCCAATGCTGAATGTCAGGAAGGCAATGAAAGAAATACACTATTTGAGAAACTAGTTTAACAAAGCTTTTGTAGAAAAAAAACCAAGTCACCAAGGTGAATGTACCAGCAGCAGCCTACTGCAATGCACCTGCTTTCCCATCCTAGCTAGGTGTCAGAGAAACTGTTTGAAAGGTTTTTGGCTGAACTGCTCTGAGAACCCAAGAAATGCAGGTCTTTTCTCTAGAATGCTAAAGCAGTGAAGGAACACTCCTATCAGGATGTTCACCATCACTCCAACAGCCAGTTTAATCAGATATTCATGCTTAGGAGAAGTAAATATGGTAAAAAATAAAATTAAAAAATTATATTTATATATGGAAAAAGTATCATTTGAACTGAAAAGTTAGTTCAGTAACCAGCTTCTGGGATGCCTTCCCTCTAGGCCAACAGATCAGCAGGTTCATTATTCGCCTCACCCAGAAGCAATGAAGAGTTCTGTAACCAAACCTTAACAAATTAAATGGCCATGTACTTGTACTCACTTTTCATGCCTAAGCAGCAGCATTTGATGCTCTATCTCAAGCCAGTTAGCGTTCACAGTCCCTTTCCAGAGTCCATTTCCAAATGAAATGTGCAAGCCCAGAGAAGATATTTATTCTGAAATTGACTTCATTAAATTATTACCTCTGACCAAAGCCACATGTGAGCTTCTGGATGATTCATGCCTGTTTTCCAGTAAACCAGCAAGGTATTTTAAGATTATTTATGTAAATTCAATTACACTGAAGATCACTTTGACCTAAACAGTACTTTTAAGCGATAATGAAAATATTGCCTCTGGGTAGAGTGCTAACCTGGGATTCAGGAGAGCTGGGTTTGTGTTATGGCCCTTCTCTGGGCTTTTAATGGCACCAGAGGCAAGTACAGACTGGAAGAAGAACTCAGGGAGAGCAGCCCTACTGAGGAGGACTTGGGAGTCCTCATGGACGAGAAGCTTGACATGAGCCAGCAGCATGCGATTGCAGCCTGGGAGGCCAACTGTGTCCTGGGCTGCATCAAAAGAGGGGTGGGCAGCAGGGCGAGGGAGGGGATTGTCCCCCTCTGCTCTGCCCTTGTGAGGTCCCATCTAGAGTATTGTGTCCAGTCATGGAGCCCCCAGCACAAGAAAGATGTCGAGCCGTTGGAGCAGAGAAGCTTGACATGAGCCAGCAGCATGCGATTGCAGCCTGGGAGGCCAACTGTGTCCTGGGCTGCATCAAAAGAGGGGTGGGCAGCAGGGCGAGGGAGGGGATTGTCCCCCTCTGCTCTGCCCTTGTGAGGTCCCATCTAGAGTATTGTGTCCAGTCATGGAGCCCCCAGCACAAGAAAGATGTCGAGCCGTTGGAGCAGATCCAGAGGAGAGCCAGGGAGATGATCAGAGGGCTGGAGCACCTCTCTTATGAAGAAAGGCTGAGAGAGCTGGGCTTGTTGAGCTTGGAGAAGAGAAGGCTTCAAGGAGACCTCATTGTGGCCTTCCAGTACTTGAAGGGAGCTTAGAAACAGGAGGGAGAGTGACTTTTTCCATGGGCAGATAGTGACTGGACAAGGGGAAATGGTTTTAAACTAAGAGAGGGGAGATTTAGGTCAGATATTAGGAGGAATTTTTCACCCAGAGGGTGGTGAGACACTGTCCCAGGTTGCCCAGAGAAGCTGTGGATGGCCCATCCCTGGAGGCATTCAAGGCCAGGCTGGATGGGGCCCTGAGCAGCCCGATCTAGTGGTTGGCAACCCTGTCCACAGCAGGGGGGATGGAACTGGATGATCTTTGAGGTCCCTTCCAACCCAAAACATTCCATGATTCCCTCTGCTTCAAGGCTGCACTAGTGCTCCCCTGACAGCTCCTAACCCTCTTAGGGGAACCAGAAGGGACCATGAGGGCTAACAAGGGCATCTCTCTAATTTACTTGCTTCCAACTGTGATGGTACAAACAATCTAGTACAAAAAGGTAATTTGAGGCTGCAGAATCCTGGCATTGTAGAACTAATATTAATAATTTAATTGCTGGCTATCAGATAGACATTCAGTAACCAGAAAACCTGCTGGCTTCCCAGGGATGCAAGCTGTTGATCTTGAGTCTTGTACTAAGAGAGTCAGAATACCTTGTCCTCTTCTTAATCACAACAGGTATGAATATGATTTCCAACCCTGCAGCCCATTTTTAGCAGTGTTTCCATGTTCCGCATTCAAACTCACTGTCTGGCATGCTAGCCTTAATAATGTTTAAAAGTTACCTGTTGCACAACAGTCTGTAAACTGCTCTCCAATAGTGGCTAACAGTAGCTCCTTCCAAACTGCAGCCTAAGGAGGGGAAAAAAAAAAAAGAGTTACATTTGTATTATTATTTTTAAATTTAAAAGTTAAGGTCACTAGCTCCATTTTGAGTCCTCTGTCTAAGGCTGTCCAGACAAAAGAGTATTTATTTTAAGTACTCACTGTGTTATACAATTAATTTCTTCAATACCATTGAAGCAAGAATTTAGACACTGAAATGATATACTATTACATATTTTTTAGAATAAATATTTTAAATATTTAACAATAAGTTTACCTTCTCTGTTTCTGGGTTCACAACTCATCCTGAATGCAGTAGCTAATGTAAAGCATGAAAGTAGATTTCTCCCAATTTCCCATCATAAAAGATCATAAGGCTCCACTTGTGATCATTTGTTTCTACAGAAAAGAATTACTACCCACTTTAAGAAAAGTACTTAAAAACCTACCAGTAAATTAAATGGATTTATATTTAAACATCATCTCTGATTTGCCTTGACTATGAAGTAAGTTCATCTTTCAACAAATTCAGACAATCACTGGAGAATTAAAACAAGGGGATAAGCTATCTGCCACTTTTCTTTGGCTGTTGGATTAATTACACTGTTATTTGCTTTTGACATTTATTTCCTAAGCCAAAGCCCATACAAGACTTGGAATGTGTCTAGACCAACACACTCAGTAATGTGCTCCAAGGTGTGGGTTAGAAGAGCTTTATTTATTTATTTAAAAAGAACACAGCAACACCTGTATTTGTCTATATCACTATAATGACTTATTCCTTAACAGTAGTCTACGAAGGTCTTTTCTGCTATATGAAGTAAGCTTGAGTTTTAGTACTTTTAAAAACCCAAACATATCCAACGAGGATCTAAAAAGTATTAGTTTTCATATTAAAAATTGGCACACAGAAGAGTCACTGTGCACATGCAACATTTATGTGTCGTTATTTTAAGTGTCATTATTTCGTCAGGCAGTTTTTCATACCACTTGAAAGACTGCTATCTTTAGCAAAAACTACATTTCCCCCTCTCCACACCCTGAACAAGTACTGCTATAAAATACCATATTTTTGAGTTAGGTCTGTACAAGATGATGCTTCTCAACCAAGGAGATGTGGTGTGCTCATGTGAAAAGAAACAAACCAAAGGAAAAAAAATAGAGAGAGAGAGAGAAACAAGCATAAAGGCATTATTTATGCTATTTACAGAGTCACTAAATGCTGATTGAAGTTCATCTCCAATCAAACCTTTTAGAAGTGACCAGGGACATGTGGAACATAGTTTGAGAGACCAAAAAGTACCTTCATTTCAAAAAGGGGCTATCATTCAGCCTCTGAAAAACAAGGCCTCTGAGGTCCCTAAATTCACCACCCAGTGAATGCAGGCTGCCTAAGCCACTTGTCACTGCTGGCAATTTTCACACCTTGGATTATAAGAGGAAAAAGAACATTTCAGTCTTTTGTGATCCCTTGGGACTGCAGGGGAGGAAAGCTGCAATTCACATATGGGGGAAAAAAGCCCACAGGCAAAAATCAATTAACTTTTGGCTGAAATTTCAAGTACCATCTTTCAGCATTTAATGCATTCTGCAAGGCTGTCACATTTTTCTGACACTTCACTTCTCGTGTTTAGAGGTCTGATCCAGAACACACTTACACACGTAAACACCAAGTCTGAAGAGGTCAAATCTCCTCGCTGTGACAGTTCAGAGCAGAAGTTACATGCGTTTGATCAGGGGCACAAGAAGAAACCCAGTTGTTTCAGCAGGGCCAGAACAATGGCATGCCTGAACAGATTTTCTCTTTCACATTTTAAAATTAAAAAACAAAAAGTGAAAAAAACTGAGCAGCACTACACTTTCACAATATAGACACGAGGTGATTTGACAACTCACTGTTGCCAAATGTGATGGTGCCACTCTTCTTTTCTCCTCTGCCACCTATACCCATCAAAAAAAGACTCTCCTGGCCATATAGTCAAATTTAAAATAAAAAAAATAGGAGACCTTTTCTGACATCAGAGTGCATTAAGCTGGCTCACAAAACAGTCCAATGAGCACCAGAGCCAGTGCAAGAGGGATCAGGAGAGAGTGAGCAAGATCATTCCCGTTCCACTGGGAGCAAGCCATAAGATGGGATGAGCTATTGGTCCAGAAACACTTTGGTCCATATTTGGCTACGGAAAGTCACAGCAATACAGCCACACGTAGGTGTAAACAAGGAGTGCCCAGCAGAAATAGCCCTACTGGGTTTGACAGAGAGTTTAGGAACATTTCAGTGACACTCTAAAAGTTGTGTTGGACCCTGTGTGTGGACTTTTGAAGAGCATTACTGAGGTTCTGGCTATAATTTAACATATAATATTATGAGGAAAAAGTTTTTCACATTTTTCTTTGCATGTCTGTAAGCAAACAGTCTTGAAAACAAAGGTGATTATAAAATTCTGTGTTTCCAAATGGAAATGGAGTACGACACTGCAGCTTTCATTTGCTTGATAACAGATCAAGTGTTATCAAAAGCAAGAGATGGAATTACCTGAAAAGAAACTTTTGCTCATTGTCTTAAAATAAAAGGTTATAGATGTTACAATAGTGTTTGGCTGTTGTGTCGGGTGATGTCAGAACTAAAAAGCTTTACAACAGCTTTATTAGATGGAGTTTAAAGAAGCCCCCTTACTGAACAATGTCTAAGTAAAACGTCAGTATAACATACCGTACTTTCTTTGGGGACCTTCATTTTCCATACACCTCCTTTGGCATTGCTTTCTTCTTCCCTGGATATGGGAAACAGATCAGTAAAATAAACATTCAAATCTACATCTAGATAAACCTATGTTTGGGGTTAAATTTTCCCAGAAAAATCTTATTTGAAAGGCAATTACTAACTCCAGGTAGCATGACTCAAGCTATGACTGCTGACATTAGAGATAATTCTTTCACTGTTCTTATGAAGTGTATCTCTCAACACCTAATCCCTTTCCTAAGTTTTGTATGTTAGAAAATACTTACATTTTCCCTGATTACAGAACATCTTTGAAGTGGCTGCACATTATATAGGAATAACCTACAAAGCAACTTTATGTTTTACTATGGTAACCTTTTATCTTGGAAAAACTCTGGCATAGTTTCACAGAAGCAGCTTATTACTCTCAGGTTTATCCAGTTTAACAAAAGAATATGAGAGTACTTCATTCCAGTTTTGCGACAGCTAGAAATTAAATGCCCTTATTAAAAGAAAGGGTGAAGCTGCCCATGGTCAGGTCACAAAGTGCCTGTGAGCTTTAAGTTTACTCTGTCACAATTCTTTTTGTAAGATTTTCAATTAGAGTTCTAGTTTCCTGCTAAAACTCTGTAATAGCAAAGTTTAAGGAATAACCTAAATTAATCTTTGGAATATCTAAGCCCAGTATGAGACCTATACACATTCCTGAGGGTCAGTGGTCTCCCACCAATCCAGACAAACACTGCGGAAAGAAGGGGGAAAACTTTGAAAGGACATCTTCAAAAATTTGCAGTCCTCAATTCTTACTTCAGAACCTGTTTTTCTTCCTAAAAAAACAATGCTGCAATTAGCCAGTATACTGTAACTGTAGTCTTAGAAAAGCCCCTTGGCAGTAATTACTGAAAGGTTAGCAGGTTACTGATGAGATCAATTTCTTGCAATCCCTTTCCTAAAATACAAATTTACTTTGATAGTCTTAAAATAGATATATCACTTTTAGAAGTCTTTGCATTTCACACCTCTAATAGTTACCAAATCAAAATTAAAATTATAAAAAAAAAACAAAAAACAAAATGTTCTCACTCATCCTTACAGAGACATTAAGACCTGCACACAACCACCCAGTTGATGTGTACAGTTGATCTGAAGATTTCTTCAGACCCAGTTTAACTACCCTGACCAGTCACAGTATTTTTATAAAAGTAATGTAGACCTTCAGATGCATTCCACTTGAGAAAACTATTTACTTGTTTAGTAGAGTAGGACAGAAATCTCCTGTAGTTAGTCACCACCCAGTTCAACACACTATGATCACATTGAAGAACTCTAATCCAATAACAATCTATGCAAATGATGCCAAAAAGATCTTCAGAAAGTGCTTAGGCTCTCTAATTAAGATGTGACAGAACTGCACCAGGAAGAAGGTATGCAAAACTCAATTGCTGAAAGGAAAACTTCAATGATTTACACTGTATTCCATTCCTGTCCTACAATGAAGTAGGAATTTGCTGCAATGAATCATTTCATAATGCCTTAAGTTAGTTTTAATCCAAGGTATATGTGCATTTATATGTGTATGAAGCATAGTTTTGCACAGGTGGAGAACCATTTGAGGACCATTAGTCATTTGCATCATTGGCACTAGCCAATTGCATCATCCACACTAGCTTCAGTGGAAAGAAAAAAAAAAAATTAAAGTTAAAAATAATTCAAATTCTGAGTGTTCTTGAATTGAAATGCAGAGTCATATTTTAATTTCCTAACTTCTATTTCATAATCTAATTTATTTCTTACATTCACATTCAGAGGTAGACAATTAAAGCCTGTGTTTTTAATAAATACTCTTTAGTACAAGTCGCTTTTAAGCTTAAAAAGATCCTCAGGATATTTCTTTTGTAGGTCTCAAGTTCAGGCATTTGTAGGTAACAGAGAGAAGACACTCCTGTCCCACTCCATTTCCTTGCATCACTTGAGGTTTTTCACTGCCCATTCCCAGAAAGGTCTGACAGTAACACACATACCAGAGCGGCCGTCTTTCTCCCCGCATTAAATGGTAACTAGATCTCAGAGGCAAATTTGTCACAGGAGGAATGTTGTTGTAGACACTCCAAAAATCCTTAAAAAGAAGAAAAAAAAAAATACTACTTGCATTAACACAACAGAATTAGTTTAAAGCAGATTTCTTTCCTTCTTCATTTTCTCTAAAACAATTAGATATCCTGTTCCTAGACAACTGGCACTTTCAACATTATAATAAAATGCTCTGAAAAGAACTTGTTGCAATTTCACTTCTACTTTTTTTTTTTTTTTAGATGCCATTTCTGCATAAGCTGGAGGTGGAAAGAAGGGAAGCAGTTGAATTGTGGATTACTTTAGAATAAAAGTCCTTAGGAATAGAGAGGAAAAAAAAATAATCAAAATCAGAACTACACTAATTATATCAGAACAAACCAGTACATAAAAACTTTATTTGTGTATTGAAAATATATACTGATATCAAATATCCAATTTACTTCACCTAAGACTAGTCTACACTTCATTTTGATGATCTTCAGTCACAAAACCATCAAACAATTATGGTGAACTAAATATCTAATTAGCAATCCAACTACTTTGTCTAGATCACAGTGAAAAAGTTTTAACCAGATGTAAAGAGCTTGAGGTGCACATGATTAGTACAGGGATGGGGGAGAAATTAGATCTAAGTTACCAGGAGCCACCAGATTGCTTCCCAGTGTTTCTGCTGGTAAAAGCAGATGCTGCCATATGTGTTTGGGGTAGATAAAAGGCACCCAAAAGCAGTGGTGAGCAACAGAGACGGATGAATGAAGAGATCTCAATCCCCTTTCTTATTTATCCAACAGTTGGGAATACGAGAGAATTTTTAAAGACTTATATTACATCAATATTAAGCATTGTACAGTGATTAAGCAGTGATGGAATATTAAGCATTAGTACAAGTCATTAAGCATCATCTAATACCTAATCATTAGAAACAAAGATTGCAACATTATGGGATAAAATTTTGTGGCCCCTGGCAGTTCTACCTACCAGCCATTAGCATTACCCAGTCACAAGAAGAGATGGAAGACTATCAAAAATATTTTAAAAATGGTATGAAACACCTGTGTCACCTTTCATCTTATTCTTACCCAATTGTGTGCTGAAACCCTAAAGCTACTGAGAGAAGGAAGAGAAGAGCAGACGACCATGGAAATATTTTAGAGCTCTTACATCCTGAACCAGGGACTCAGTTTGGAAGCTTTTGGTTTCCAAACATCCTTCAGGCAGGACAGATTGGCATTCCTCATTGCCTAGTTACTGCCCATGAAGGGCAGTTGATGTCAGTGAAGGTTTTGGTTTTGTTTCCCCAAGGAAGATCATAATATGCATATGATAGCACAGTAAGACGTGTTAGGAGCCACGCTGCCAGCTTCTGATAACCTCATCCCGATCATGAGTCTTCCCAAAGGGCCTAAAGGAGTTTTTTGTATTTTAAACCCCAATCCCATGAGAACAAAACCTCAAATTTTTCATCCAATAAAACCTAATCATTTAAATAATGAAGGCTAGATTCAGAGTGGGAAAACAGATAACACCACATACTGTGTACACCAATCCATGCTCTTAAGCTGTCCTTTTTTCAACAAGAATCATTGCAGTCAGTTTTGACACAAACCCACTTCTGTCGTTAACTTCAACTTCAGAGTGTCACTTCATTGCATGACCAATGGGGACATCCTGCTGACATGAGAAGGTGAGAGGGAACCTCCCTCAAGGGTCTGAAGGACACTTCCATGCTTTAGGCCAATACAAATATTTTTATAACCTGGTCTCCAGAGAACTCCAAAAGTCAATTTGTTTCTTAGGCCAATTAGCTGGAAAGAAACATCTTGTGCAATGTAACAAGTTGTGCAGATGTTAATGAGAAAGCCATTGAAAACTTCAGTAGATCACTACAGCTGGGCTCCTTCAAAGAGAAGGTTTTGGCATTTTCTGAGAATTCCAGAGATTTAGTGAACTAGAGTCAGCTTAGCATTAAGGTGAGACAAATACCAATTCACTAAATTTCATGCTAACTGTGGTATTAAAACAGAAATGCAATTTAAATTGCAGGAGATGCCCACTGCTCAACACTGGCATATGACACAGAGACATATGCAGAATGTCTTATTGCTGCAACTATTGTGTGATTTAAAAGCACTTTAATTCAAGTCCATTTGTTAAGAGTTTTGAGGGTTTTTTTAACTCATGCTGAAGGCAAGTAAGAAGATAAAAACCACAAGCTACCATTTTTATTCTTTGGGTAATGATTTTCTGTATTAAAAAAAAAATATGGAGAAAAGGCAGGAAAAATATTTAAAATACATTGAATATAACAATCCAATGGAGGCACAAGTGGAAAATCCAGAAAGTTTCAGAAGAGGGGGCTTGCCTGATCATTCCAATATGTGGTCTGGAAAGCCAAATGAAATTCAAACAATGACTAAGTAATACCACACACCACCAACACCACTCACGTTTCATACCACAGGTGAGCAAAGCTGCAAGTGTGACTCATCCACGCGAGGAAAAACAAAACTTAAGGTGTGAAGTTATACTAATAACGTGTGGCAACTCCTGTAGCAAAGCTACACACCTTACCTGTACTGTTTGTACTGTATAAATCTTCTTCAAATTTGATGCACATTCAGCCGCTGTCGTACCAGGAAGTGACCTTGAAAACAAAGTAGAGATGAATAAAAATATTTGTATTATCAAGGGGCAAGAAGGGAGACAGATGGGTAAAGTGAATCATATGCATGTGAAGTTGAAATATTTACATGTCTAAGTTGCATAATAAACTCCAATTCCAGTTATCATGAATCATTTGAAGATAGGAATTGCTTAAATACTTCTGAATAAATTAAGATTCACTATGTATTTTGTAAAATATTTTTATTAAACAGATGAATTAGGAGTTTTAAACCAAGAACAACAGTGTTCCTTCTAATGGCCACCCCACACCCTTCTGCTGTGAGGCAGCAACAAGAGCTCTGCAGTTGGAAGTGTGAAGGGCTGTCAGCAAGGGACCACCAACTCCTATCCCAGACTGCTTTTTAATTGCATTTAATACAGCCCAGAACCCTCCTTGAGCATTTGAAGATACTCTCAGTATTTCATCCTTTTAAAAAGAAATCTCACCCACAGTTTGTATAATGAACTATGATTATTTCCCACCAGGTGGCAGAGGCACACAGCCAGTGTGTGGGGGTCCCTTCTGTCCCCCCTGCAGCAGCACCGCTCAGAGGACCTGGGCACACCTGCGACAACCTCCTCAGGTGGATGGGACACACGTATGGGCTGATGAGAAGACCACAACCCAGAGGACATCTCTCTTCTGGTGCAGTCAGCTAGATAACCCAACACACACAGGAAACCTCCAGGAATTCAGGCAGCTCCTCCACAACCAGCATTTATTTCCTCAAGCCACGTCTACAACTAGCACTGCCCATAAAGCCAAGAGTTTCTTGGGTTGGTTCCACTGCCAGACCTCAGGGTTGCACTGATGTACACCAGGCACAGTTTAGCTTCTCTAGCCCACCTTCATATTGCTTATTCCCAACTCCAGAGCTGCTCCCTTTAGGCACACACAACACCAACTGCACCCCATCACCTTAAGGGTCTTTTCCAACCTAAACGATTCTATGATTTATTGATAACCTTCATCACGACTCTTCAGTGCATGTGACATGGGGAGGTGCATCCACATCCTCAGACATCACTGGCTCCTGTCACCACACTAATGGTTCATCATAACACCCATCTTACAATTCCCAGCACATGCTCCCACAGGCACAATTTTTGGGGAATGAGGTCAAAATTGCTAAGGTGCATTCAGTTTGTTAGAACTGGAAACAATTTTTCCCTTTCAGAAGCTGAAGTAGGATTTATAAAGAAAAATGAAGATCAAAGACAAAGAAACCTCCCATCGCATCTCAGAAGAGGAAACAAAAAATGTGTAAAATGACTAAATCTGGAAACAGAAACAACAGAACAGATTTAAGAAAACAGAGGAAAAAAAAATAGTTGTTGCTCATGTACCTGCTGAAGAAAGGATATAGGCAAACCAGATCTCAGTAACCCTCCCATCGGTGTGGCTGTTTGCCTTGATACATCTGATCAGCAAGAAATATGTCCAGGAAAACACTAAAGTAACTCTCAGTTTTTACAGATATAATTCAAGCTCTGGGGCAAAACTCTAGGGAAAAAAAAAGATATTAAAGTAAAAGAAGAAATTTAATCTGCAAAACTACTGAAACAATATCGCATCTTCAAAACTAAGAATAGGTCCGAGGTTTTTTTGAAGGCTCCTATCAAAATAACTTACTTGAAAAATACATATAAAACCAGCAGAGAAACTCCTCTCAACATTTTCAGTATAGAACAGACAAACTAACATCTACTTTACTATTCACCTATTATTCATCAGACATAAGAGTACATTGCAACAGTGGAACTGATGAGAAAACGTGCAAATTTCAGAAATCACTTTAACTAGTGGTTATGAAGACAAACAAACATATAAGAACCTAAGAAATCGCTACGGTGCAGCTTCTAGTCCTGTGGCTCATGAAGTCTGAAAACTCCCATAGGAAAACCGATAACTTGAAAACAACAACCACCAAAACTGTCATCAATGTGCTCTAAAGGAATTATCATAGTAAGGGTCTTTTTTAAAAAATCCCAACAACAAAAAACCCCAAAATAAAAAAAAAAACCATACACTTTACACTCAGCATTAAAGAGCAAAAAGAGAAATTCAGAGTATTTAACAGAGACAGAGTCAGTCAGGTGGGTTTTGAGTGCATAAAAAAAAGTACTAAGTTAAAAAAGACAGAAAATTTAGCAGATGATTTACCTGTGTTTGTCAGTAGGGAGTAGTGGATTTGCAACAAACTACCCCTTGATTTTAGCTTGTTGCTGACAGCAGCTTCGTTTCATAGATTTGTCCTGGGTTTTAGCTGCACAGAGCTGGGTTTCTTTTTTAGTAGCTAAAATATTATATTATTTTATGGAACATATAATATATTATAGAACAAATCAAGCAAAGCCTAGAATCAGAATTGTTTTGGTTGGAAAAGACCTTTAAGATCATCAAGTCCAACTGTAACCTGTAACTTTACCTGTTGGCATCTCACACAACTGGCCAAGAAATGACTTCTCTTAGACACTATTTCTGCCAGTTTGCTAAACTTGGCACTCACCAATCCATAAGGGATTATACAGCCCATAGTATCATCACTCCCTATATTCACACTGATAGTGCCACAGAGATGCTGTGATAATAAGGTCTATTCAAAGAAAAGATTCAAATCTCTTCTCTAACAATAGCCTTCAAAGGTTTTCAAGATAACCACAGTAGCCATTTAGCAAATTCAATGCCATTTAAAAGAGAAGATAAGAAAGAGAAAGAATATTCCACTCCCATGTCATGAAATGGTTCATTTTGATAGTTGCAAATAACATTTTCCAGAGAAACTACGTGACTAGCTGGCAGAAAACACCAAGCAACAGGCAAATTACCTGTTTTAAAAGTTAAGGTGAGTGACCACTTGTTTCTAGTGACCTGCCTGGCAAGTGCTCCATGCCCACAAGATTACATGGCATTATTTCAGCCTTTCACCCACGTCTGGAAAGTGTCATTGATTTATAGGTATGAGCATGAACTCCTAAACTTTTTTATTTAAAAAAAAAAGAAGAAAATTACTGAAGGAATTGCAAGTGAGAAAATGATGACATGCATCAATTTAAAAGTTCAGGATCATTTGCTGCACAAATTACACCTGCACAAATTTGGTTTAATGGATGAGTATAAGGCAGAGACAGTATTTTAATGACAGCCAGCCAGCCAGAAGGAACAATCTCAGAATTTCCTGAAGAATTAGAGACTGCTGACAAATTTGAACCACAGTGATTCTGCAATAGCCATCCACAAACTCAGCAGATCAGCACAAATGACAACTGAGAGGTTTTTGTGCCTTGAAGCCCAAGAAATTATGATTTTATTTTTTGAGTACACAGAGTAAGTCTAGATTAAGTTAGCAGAAATGGCAGATGACTCCCAAGTGAAGGAATCTGTAGATATTCCTATTTCTGTAGCTCTCTCAAAGACTTACACTATAAGCTTGGAGTAGTAAGACTGTGGCATACTTTGCTGAAAACCTGAATACACATGCTAGCGCAAAACAGGAACCCTGCAAATACTGATTCTTAAAAATGAAGCTATGTCCTGCTTTTGCTATTACAAAATAGCAAAATATTCTTTTGCTTATTTGATGAGCTATTACAGGATTCCTCCCTTTTGGATAATTTTACTACCATCAACAATAAAATTAATCCAATACACCATACTAAACTGTCAATTATTGCCATGGTGAGCAATTAATTTCCATAGGTGCTGTAAATCCCTATGAACACACTTGCAGGAGGGGACAGGTCCTCCCAGATGGGTCACAGCACCGGCCAGGCACTGATCGCTCTTCTGGAGCTGGAGAGAGTTGGTTTGTCACCATATCACCTACCAATGCACATCTGGGTTCCCCGTGGAGAGTCTGCACGTAAAATACTCAACAGTTCTCCTGGCCCAACTGTTCTGCACCCTGTGATGCCACTTTGAGCATCTTCAGAATCTTTAAGGCAGAATTTTTAGTACAATATCAGGAATAACCAACTTGCCTAATCAGGCCAGACCCACCATATCACATCTCACAGGGCATCAGCTCAAAGCAGAACATGGAAGCAGGAATAACCTACGCAAACTGAATCCTAATGCCAGCTTGTTTCGCTGCTCCATCGTTATTCCAGCGCAAATAAAGAACAAAGGATGCAAAGATAAATTCCATTGTTTTTTGCCATGAATAAACCTCCAGGTGGTTGTGCTTATGTTAATGTCTGATGGTGAACTGTAGCTCCTCTGTTCCCCTGCAAAGAATTAAGGATAGAAGGTTTTTTCATATGTGCTCACACTGGCTTTTGTTTCCCAGCGGGAATCTAATCCCGGCTTTAGCGGGAGCTTTAAAAGCTGCCGAGCACTTTTGAAAATATCCCTGTAAGTACTCAGCCACAACTGCTTTTGGTATAAATAAGCAAAATATTTACTTACAAAGCATAAACTCAAAAACATGCTGTGGCAACTAAATAAACCTGGTAATCCATTCTGAATACAAAGACTGATTTCAAGCCATCAAAGCCTGTCAAAATGCATTTACCGGACTGAACGTTCTTATAATATGAACCATCATTTTTCATTGTAAACCACCTACTCATGAGCTTTAATAGATGAAACAGATGATCCTAGATAAACAAGATTTTGCTATAGGGAAGAAGGGAAATTATTAAGCTTAGTTACAAATATCTGATATGTTCAGTTATGAAAATTCACAGTTGTTATGTAAATGGTTCTATTACCAGCATTTATCTATCAAACTTTATTTACATAGAACTCATCAGGATAACATGGAGAGAGAAAAATCAGCACATGTGGACAATATGTTTATGCAAGAATATTTTCACTTTCCTGGAATAAACTAATAATATTGCATTATATTTGACAATGTTTATAAGCATATTCTTCCCCTCACAAAGATACAGGAGACTTAAACTATTCTTGCAATAGAAACAAAATTACCTAATAAGCATTGTTAGAAGTCAAGCAAGAAGACGAGGCAAGCAGGT